TACGGTGCCGGTTTTAATACATGCTCCGCCTGCGGATCATGTATTAAACATGCAGGGATTTCGTATTCGAAACATCGATGAGCTCATGCATAAATTTATTCACACATTGATCATGCGTTAAAATCCAATATTTCAAACATCCTATGTATTAAGAACTGCCCTGTAGGGCGTCCATCGTCATGGCATCCACACTCATAGCTGACCCCCCAGCTCCCCGGGGCAGGCTGGCGCAACGACCGCTGCCTCGAGCGGGTGGCCCGCCTCGGGGCTCCGCGCTTCGGCGCCGGCCGTTTTGGAACGATCTTGGGGGCATCTTGAGCCTGGGCGCTGATAGGACCAAGCGTTCGTTCCCCCTCATGAGTTTGGCTGTTATTGCTTCTTGGGGCCCTCTCGGAGGTTGGCCTGGGGCCCTACTTGGGCGTCTTCGGGGCCTCTTCGGCGGTCTTGATGCCATCTTGGTCGTCTTTGAAGAGACTCCTCGGCGTGTTGGAGCCCAGCTCGAGCCAACTAGATAGCATCGTGAATCTCGGGTGTGGGCAGAACCTCCAACAGTGACACGTCGATTAGTGAATTGTCCGTTTTCGGTTCTCGAGAGGGCGCCGTGGCCGTCATTTTCCAGGCTTGCGCCCGCCAGGTTTGGGTCTCAGGTCGTTTTCACTAAACCACGTTTTACTAAAGGGGTGCGTGTCTGTCCATCCCCGAATATTGGAGGCCACGGAGTGTAGATTTGGAGGCCCTGGAGGCCTGGGGGGTGCGTTGGTGAGTTCCCTGTCCCCCTCTCCCCCGCCCCCCCCCCAATACGATTTTGGACCCCTGGTAATTAGTCAGGAGGGGAAAAAACACACAGACACAATTAATCGGCGACTCCGAGGAAAATATGGGAAAATATGGGAAGTGGGGGGGAAGACAGAAATCAAGAAAATATGGGGAAATATGGGGGATATTTTCATTTGTGTTTATGTATTTGTGTGTCCCAGTTTCCCTTTAATTAGGGACGGGGAGGGGGGCAGCCAGAGGTTTCACGCGCCTGTTCACCTCCAGCAGGCAGGAGCCGGCGGAGTTCTTTCACCCCCCGTCGTCCGCCCGACGACGCCTCCCCGCCTGCCGGTAGCGCGCGGTGGTGTCCAGGCGCAGTCATCGACGATCGGAGACGCGAGCAGATGGTTCGGGCGGGGCTAACACGTTCACCGAGAGTTTGTTGCGTCGGCGATCCTCCTCTCCCTCCTCCACCTCCTCCTCCTCCTCCTCCTCCTCCTCCTCCGCCTCCTCCTCCTCTTACTCCTCCAAATGGTTCGGGCGGGGCTAACAGCTTGCTGCTGGCACAGGCCCCGTCGGCGCGCGACCCCTCTCTCCCCGCCCAGGTCGAACGGCCGTCAGGGGCTGGTTTTCCCTGCGGTCTGGGTCAGGGGCTGTGGCCCGCAGGCCGGAGGGGAGAGCATGCGACGCATGGGATGAAGCCAGTGAAAACACAGCGCAGTGGATCCGTGAGTGGACCAATCCAGATTTAAGAAGCGATGCTGCCTCTTTCGAGAGTGGGCTGGGTATTCTGCCCGCTCATGCCCACCCCGTCCCTGCTCAAGCACGATGGGAGTGCACCGTCGTCGGGACGCCGCCGCCTCGGCCGCGCGAGGCCGGCCGCTCTGCGGGCCCCGGCTCCGAGGAGCCCGCGCGTCGCACAGAGGGCGTGCGGGCCGTCGCGCCGCGGCTGCCCCCGTGAGCGCTGTCGCCGCCATCGTCAGGGGGGGCTTCGTGGAGTCTGTCTCAGGCCAGGCCAGTGGGGACACCCGCAGTTGTCCTCTTCTTTCGCCTCTCTGTGCGTGACCCTCACGGCGCACGCGTCTCCTGTGGAGTGTCCTGCGGCCAGGTGCCTTGGGCAGGCGCCATTCCACAGGGGGTGGGTGTATGCTGACTGGCTGTCTTGCGCGTTCATCCCTCTCACAGGGTTCGGACGGGCGTGCCCAAGCCGCCTGGTCCGCCAGGGAGGTTGGCGTGCAGTGGAGGCCCATGCCAAGAAGCACCGTGCTCGCCTCCAAGGTGCCTCGAGTTTCTCGGGGCTCGAGGGCTCTGCGACGGACGGCGCGACGTGCCCACGCCACAAACCCATGGATGTCCTGGCCCTGGGGCTTGGGGTTTGGGTTTCTCGTGGGAGGTTTCTTGTGCTCGGGCCTCCAACGTACTTGCTCCCCGGCTTCCCAACCAGTGGGGCACTCGCTGGAGTGTTTCTACGCCGAGATCTTTTGCGCCGAGCTCTTGACCAACCGGCGTGGTGTATCGTTCGAGCCCCTCCACGTCGTCGTCGTCGTGGTCGTCGTCGTCGTCGTCAACGTCCCTCCTGCCCTCCCTTCCCTCCATTAGTGTTCGTCGAACGGTGGCGCAGGTGGTGAGTTTCAGGCACTCTGCGCCAGCTGCCCTGCCCAGCCGCTCGGAGACAGAACAGATTACGTTGCATTTTCAAGGGGCCTCGCCTGTCCCCCAAATTGATGCTTTCTCTTGTGCCCGACGCGGGCTCGACCCGATGCGGGCTCGACGCGGATTTGGCGTGGATTCGACGCGGATGCAACACGGATCCGACACGGACCCGACGAGCCCGACAGGGATCCGACACACGTTCGACGCGGATAAGGGCTTCGACGGGGCGACAGGTCCCACCAGGATGCAACACACAAAACAGCACGCCTTGCGCCGCGTCCTCGCCGGGGGGGCCCTCTGCGGCAAGGACCTCGAGGGCGGCCTCGCGGGCCTGCGGGCGCGCGGCTGGGACCGCCGGGAGCGGGACGTGTTCGCTCTGCTCCTGCAGAAGGTTTTCGGCGCGTGCCGCCGCCGAGGGCGACGCCGACGGCGGCGGCGGCGGCGGCGGCGACGACGACAACGATGACGACGACGACGGCGACGACGACGACAACGACAACGACGACCCTTGAAAATTATAGCCGAAAATGTGAAGCCCGCTGCTACTGGTGTGGCCTCCAAGCGTATATTTCCACTTCGCGGTACGCGCAAGTGCCCGAGGGAAACCCCCGTTAGTTCGCGGTGTAACAGTGATCGGAAAATTGGCCCGCGTAGAAAACGCATTGGTCCAGACCGTTTCCCGTATGGTGACAGTGATGAGCGAAGGCGAAAGGACGGAACGGGTTGGACAGGTCCGTTCATTGATTTCGATTCATTGTAATGCAACATTTTTTTGTCAGTTATACGGGCGATTCGTCAGAGGGTGTGTGTATGTGTGTGGTTGTGTGTTGGAATGAAGGCCCGCAGTGACGTGGGGGTTCCCTCCCCGTTTGGCTCAAGCATTGAACGGCGTCATCTGGTGGCTGGTGATGTTTACTGTGCCCTTCACCCCTTTCCGTTCTGGCAAAACAAATCTCCCATCAAACTTGGAGGAAGGGGGAAGAGGAGGAGGAGGAGGATGAGGAGGAGGAGGAGGGGGCGGAAAAGGAGGATAATGATGAGGAGGAGGATGAGGAGGAGGAGGAGGAGGGGGAGGAGGGAGGAGGAGGGAGGGAGAGAGGAGGAGGAGGGAGGAGGAGGAGGAGGAGGAGGAGGAGGAGGAGGAGGAGGAGGAGGAGGAGAGGAGGAGGAGGAGGAACTGGCCGAAAGCCTCATCTCCTTCCCCCCGGCCCTGGGCTCCTGCGCTGGAGCCCAGCCCCCCCGCTGGCCCCCCCCCTCCCGCTCTCCATGCCCGCTGCCGTGCCCGGCCGCCGCGTCCCCAACGTCCCTCCCCCCTCCTCCCTCTCCCTCCTCCCTCCCCCCTCCCTCCCTTCCCTTCCTCCTTCTCCTCCTCCTTCTCCCCTCCTCTCCTCCCCTCCTCCGCCTCCTCCTCCTCTTCCTGCCCTCCCTCCCTCCCTACTCCCTCCTCCCTCCTCCTCCTCCCTCCTTCCTCCTCCTTCCTTCTCCTCCGCCTCCTCCTCCTCCTCCTCCTCCTCCTCCTCTTCCTCCTGCCTGCCTCCTGCCTCCTGCCTCCTGCTCCCCTCCCTCCTTCTCCTCCCTCCTCCCTCCCTCCTCCTCCCCTCCCCTCCCTCCTCCCCTCCCTCCTGCCTCCTGCCTCCTGCCTCCTCCCTCCTCCCTCCTCCTCCTCCTCCTCCTCCTCCTCCTCCTCCTCTTCCTCCCGATGCATTGAGGAGCACGGCTGTGCCCTCCCCCCCCAACACAGGGCGGCACCTCGCCGCGTTCGGCCCAGCGCCGCGAGCACCGCGACGACGAGAGGGAGCTCACTCCTGCTGGACCGCGAGCCGCTGCACACCGGGATGCGCACTGTCCGCGCAGAGCATGTCCTCGCACTCGTACACGCAGGTCGTTGAACGTACACCAGATTTCGTAATAAAAGGGAGGGGGTCTGGACCCTCCAAGACAAGCCATTTCGGACCTCCCCCGTGGGAGAACCCTCCAAAACATCGTCCCCAGACCCCCCAGGCCCTCCAAGATAGCCTGGAAGAGACCCCCCCCGAAATGAGACCCCCCTCCCTTTATTACGAAATCTGGAGTACACGCAGGTCGTTGAACGTAGGTCTTTTGGGATTCCCAGATCCCAGATCTACTTCAAGCGCCGTACTCCTTCAACAATCGATGTGGCTTTGCTATGTGTAATGCTGTTTTTTCCTCTGAGAGGGCCTGGACCCAATCTACTTCATTTGCCTTCCTGCTTCATGCTTTTAATTACCTACTTCTCCCGACCGACGTGTTACCCACGCACAGGAAGACGTCATCACCATCACAGATGGGGCCCGCGCTCGCCACGCAAGCCTCTTCCTCGCAGTTAGCCGCATCCCAGTCCAGCGCACGTCCCAAGGAACACCACTTGAGGGACCCCGAGAATTCCTCCTGCGCGACCATCCCGACAGCGACGTCTCGCTCCCCAACCTCAGAGCCGTCCACTGTGAGAGGGGTGGGACGGCACGGCAGGATTCTGACTAGCCTTGGACACCAGCGCGTCGATAAAGTCCCTTCACCGGGCAAAAAGGCTGAACACGATCACCACAGCGCTGAGGAAGGCATTCCATGACCTGGCGGTGCAGCTTGTCCAGCGGCACGAAGCACTCCGCCTCGGCCCTGAGAACACTCCGCACCCGATCCGTCCCTCCTGGCGCCAGCAGCACCTCCTGCCCAGACACCTCGACGCACTCCAGTATTTTCACCTCGACAGGCCCACCGTGCTCCTGCTTGATCATCATCTCTTTGCACACCTGCACCTTCTTCTTCCTCTTCTTCTTCTTCTTCTTTTTCTTCTTCTTCTTCACATCAGTGCTGATGTGCCCGCGCGACTCCACCCCAACCCCCAAGCCTGGGGCCAGCCTGCGCGCGCCGCAGCTCGTCCTCCCCAGCACGACGGAGGCAGGCACCCTCGGCGACAGAGCGAAGGGCCACGCTGTGGCGCAGCTTGTCCGGCCACCGCGCCTGGCTGCCAGCTGCCAGCGCCAGGAGTGCAGGGAGTCACCACCCACCAAACCACCCCAACCCAACCCGAAGGCTCAGATTTACCCTCGATTTCTAGTGGGGGGGGTCCGGGAACATCAAACAAAAAAACATATGGAGCCCATACCCCCCCCAACCCGAAATTCGGGTCTTCGGGTTGGATTGGGGTGGTCTGGTAGGTAGTCAGGGAGGATGCTGCAGAGGCGGTCCGCGAGGTCGGCGTCTCCCCTGAGCGAAACCAGGGCCTGCTCCGCCAACTGCAGCTGCGCCTCCGTGCGACCAAGCTCCGCGGTAGGAGTCGCCACGGCACGAACCGCAGAATGCTGTGCCCACCGCCTCCTATCCTCTCGCTCAGCGGCAGAAGGCCGCGGCTGCGCATCGCCCGCAGCCTCCCGTGCCATCTCAAGGATCTCGCTGTTTTTTAGCAACACCGCCTCCGGGCACCCGCCATGCGCGATGCAGAACTCCAGGGCAGGGGGTTCGAGACCAGCTTGAGCCAACATGGCTTCGGACTCTCCTCCTCCTCCTCCGCCTCCTCCTCCGCCACCGCCGCGAGGTGTCCACGCTGCTGCTCGTGGCCGACGCAGGCCTCGCCGCCCAGGCGCTGAAGCTCCTGCGGGAGGCGCGCGGCCTCTCGGCCCCGTTGCCTGTCGGGGGCCGCCGCGGCCCGGGCCCTCCGCCCCCGCGGCTTTGCTTTTCTGGTGTCGTCCTCGTCGGCGTCGGCGTCGGTCATCGCCGGCGATCGTCGGTCGTCGTCGTCGCCGGTCGCCGTGCGTCGTGCGTCGTGCGCTCTTCGTCGTCGTCGTCGTTTCCGCCGCCGTTCGTCGCCGTCGCCGTCGCCGTCGCCGTCGCCTTCGCCGTCGCCGTCGCCGTTGTCGTCGTCGTCGTCGTCGTCGTCGTCGTCGTCGTCGTTGCTCTCGGCGTCGTCGTCTTCGTCGTCGTCGCCCTCGGCGTCGTCGTCGTCCTCGTAGTCGTCGCCCTCGTCGTCGTCCGGCCCCATGCTGACTGCCCAAGGGGGCCGCTTCTGGCGGGGCCCCTAGGCCCTCGGGAGTGGGTCCGGTGGATGGGAGGCTCGGCCTCCCGGAGGGGGTCGTTGCAGGCGCTGTCTGCCAGGAGGGGGTAAAACACACACACAGACACAATTAGTCGTCGATTCCCAAGAAAATATGGGAAAATATGGGAAGTGGGGGGGAAGACAAAAACCCAGAAAATATGGGACAATATAGGGAATCTCCTTATTTGTGTGTATTTACTTGTGTGTCCCAGGGCCCCTTCAGTCTGGGGATCGCGTCGCATCGCCGCTGCATCGACGATGCGGCTCGATGCAGAGCTCGATTTTCCCCATGCCGACGTCGCCGACGCATCGCCAGCGTCGCTGGTGCGTCGCCGAGGCATCGCTGATACATCGGCGATACTTCGGCGATGCGATGCAATCCTCCGACCCCATCGACTTGGGCTCCATCTAGGAGGCCTCTAGATACTGCTGCCAGGGAGGGGGTCGTCGTCGTCGTCGTCGTATTATCGTCATTGTCTTCGTCGTTCTTTCATCATCGTTTATTGCTCGTCGTTTGTCATCGTCGTCGTCGTCCCCGTTGTCGTCGCCGTTGTCGTCGTCGGCGGTGGCGTCGGCGACAGCATCGGCGTTGGCGTCGTCGTCGGCTGCGTCGGCGTCGGCGTCGGCGCCCGTCGTCATCGTCGTCGTCGTCGTTGTCGTCGTCGTTGTTGTCGTCGTCGTGGCCTTCCTCGATCATCGTTGGACGTCCGTCGTTCGTCGTCGTCGCCATTCGTCGTTCGTCGTCGTCGTCGTCGTGGTCGTGGTCGTCGTCGTCGTCGTCGTCGTCGTCGTCGTCGTCGTCATCTGTATCGTGTTCGACGATCGTGTATCGAGCGTCCGGGATCGATGGTGGAGGTTTGAGGCGCGCAGCCTTTCGTCGCCGCCTTCGTCGCCGCGTCCGTCGCCGTTGAGCGTCGAGAATGACGACGTTCCTCGACTTCCGATTTTCGGAGGTTCGCCTTCGATTGCTGCCCTCCTTCCTGAAGCCGCGTTCGGGCATCGGGGATGTCGATATTCGATCTGGGGCTGGCGACTGGGCCAGGATTTGCTTCGCGGAGGGGGTCTTCCGACCGAGGTCTCGCCGTCTTGAGCGGCGGCGACGACGACGACGAGCACAGGATTTTGAGGTTGTATATTTTTGGCATTTGTTTGTTTGGGAACTGCGGGCCTTTGGGAGCGAACGGAAGCGAACGGCGTTGCCGCAGTCCCGGAAATTCGAAGTCTTCGAGGCAGTTCTCGTGAGTTGGTTCTTGTACGGGCTGAACTTCGTGTGGCTGCGTGCAACAGACGTTCGCAGACTAACTTGATTTACTGCAGATGTGTACGCGTCATTTTACGAGCATGGCCATATGTTATATCATGGGTTCAAACAAATCAGTGTTAGATAAGGCAGGCCGATCACCAGTTTCACAAAGCAACAGCTGCTATGATATGGAAGAGTGGCGGGTGTATTGGAGTCCGTGGAGGGAGACGAACGACAGAAGCGCACTTCCATCCCCGGAACGCGCACGCCGGCCACAGAGAGGTTTGTTGAGAAGGTCAGACGCCCGAGGAACGAATGGGTGACTCCGGTCGCCGAGCTCGCTGCTGCAATCGGAGAGAACGTTCATTGTGAGTCTGGCTGGAAGACCAGCGTGAGCCGGCATTGCATGTTCTGGTCGCGTCTATGCGCCTTCCGGCGTACAGTCGGGGCCCTGAAGAAGGAGCCCTTTTCGTTGGGAAGGGGCTCCGTGTTCCTGAAGTGTTTCACAGCTTGCCTCGGGTTTTCCTTATGTTTTCGATCGGAAATCGAAGTTCAGTTCGTGGTAAAAAAGGGGCCTCGTTCCTTATTTTGGGTTCCTTAGGTCAACGCCCCGACTGTACGACTTGTGAGCGAGTGAGGTGCGGGCCCGTGGAGCCCCCGGGGACCCTCGGAGGCCTCCGCGCTGGGAGCTCCCCGGGCTTCCGGGGACATCTGCAGGGCCGGCGTCGCCGTCGTCGAGGATCGAGGGTCGAGGTTCGAGAATCGAAGGTGTAGTTTTTGATCCCAGCCATCCTGTGGTGCTGGGTCCGCGTGCCGAAGAGACGGCGCCCCGCGTTCCCTTCCCTCCTTTTTTCTTCCTCCTCCCTCCTTCCTTCCCTCCTCCCTCCTCCCCCTTCTTGCCTCTGCCCTCAACCCTCGCTTTTGCACACCCGCTCACACGTTTCGTGGCCCCATCGGGAGCTCCACCGAAGGCACCACTGGCGCAGCCCGCATGCGTCACCCACACCCATTTCGGCACACCCCTCACACGCTGGGCGACCCCATAGGGAGCTCCACCGAAGGCACCATTGGCGCAGCCCGCATGCGTCGCCCACACCCAATTCGGCACACCCCTCACACGACTCGTGGCCCCATTGGGAGCTCCACCGAAGGCGCCATTGGCGCAGCCCGCATGCGTCACCCACACCAACGTCGGTAAACGCCTCACACGTTTTCGTGGCCCCATCGGGAGCTCCACCGAAGGCACATTTGGCGCAGCCCGCATGCACACCCCTCACACGCTCCGTGGCGCCATAGGGAGCTCCACCGAAGGTACCATTAGCGAAGCACACCTGCGTCACCCACACCCATCTCGGCGCACGCCTCACACGATTTTGTGGCCCCAGAGGGAGCTCCACCGAAGGCACCATTGGCGCAGCCCGCATGCGTCGCCCACACCCATTTCGGCACACCCCTCACACGCTCCGTGGCGCCATAGGGAGCTCCACCGAAAGCACTATTGGCGCAGCCCGCATGTGTGCGTCACCCACATCAATGTCGGCACATCCCTCACACGTTTTCGTGGCCTCATCGGGAGCTCCACCGAAGGCACCACTGGCGCAGCCCGCATGCGTCACCCACACCCATGTCGGCACACCCCTCACACGCTCCGTGGCCCCATAGGGAGCTCCACCGAAGGCACCATTGGCGCCCACACCAAGGTCGGCACATGCCTCACGTTTCGTGGCCCCATTGGGAGCTTCACCGAAGGCACCATTGGCGCAGCCCGCATGCATCACCCACACCCATTTCGGCACACCCCTCACACTTTTTGTGGCCCCCATCGGGAGCTCCACAGAAGGCCCCAGTGCCACCGCCCGAATGCGTCACCCACACCCATTTCGGCACACCCTTCACAGTTTTTCGTGGCCCCATCGGGAGCTCCACAGACGGCCCCAGTGCCACCGCCCGCATGCGTCACCTACACCCAGTTCGGCACACCCCTCACACGATTCGTGGCCCCATAGGGAGCTCCACCGAAGACACCGTTTGCGCAGCCCGCATGCGTCACCCACACCCATTTCGGCACACTCCTCACACGACTCGTGGCCCCATCGGGAGCTCCACCGAAGGCACCACTGGCGCATCCCGCATGCGTCACCCACACAGATTTCGGCACACCCCTAACACGCTCCGTGGCGCCATAGGGAGCTCCACCGAAGGCGCCATTGGCGCAGCCCGCATGCGTCACCCACATCCACTTCGGCACACCCCTCACACGTTTCGTGGCCCTATAGGGAGCTCCACCGAAGGCGCCAGTGGCTGCGTTCGCACGCGCCCACCGCACCCATTTCGGCACACCCCTCACACGGTTCGCGGCCCCAGAAAGAGTTCCACCGATATCCAGTGGCTGTGTTCGCATGCGTCACTCACATCCACTTCGGCACACCCCTCACATGTTTCGTGGCCCTATAGTGAGCTCTTCCGAAAGCGGT